TTTTCCCGAAAGACTTTTGCGCAAAAGGGCCAGTGTAGACAGCACAGGACTGTTTTCTGCAAAAAAGCCCCAATCGCGAAAATGGCAATCGGGGCTTTTTTGTGGAAAACTGCGTCTAGATTGGCCATGGACGCTTTTCCGCAAAAAGTGCTTTTGCGGAAAAGCATCCTGCCAATCTAGACGCGCTTTTCCGAAAATGCTTTTAACGGAAAACTTTTCCGTTAAAAGCATTTTCGGAAACTCATGCCAGTCTAGACGTAGCCCAGATGTGGCCTCACCAGTGCCGCATAAAGGGGAATAATCACTTGCGTAGATCAACTGGAAATGCTCCTCCTAATGCACCCCAATATGGCATTAGCCTTCTTGGCTACAAGGGCACACTGTTGATGCATATCCAGCTTCTCATCCACTGTAATCCCCAAGTCCTTTTCTGCCGAACTGCTACTTAGCTAGTCGGTTCCCAAACTGTACCAATGCTTGGGATTCTTCCGTCCCAAGTGCAGGACTCTGCACTTGTCCTTGTTGAACCTCATCAGATTTCTTTTCGACCAATCCTTTATCTGTCTAGGTCACTCTAGACCCCATCCCTTCCCCACCAGCAGATCTACCTCTCCCCCTAGCTTAGTGTCATGTGCAAACTTGCTGAGGGTGCAATCCATCCCCTCATCCAGGTCATTAATAAAGATGTTGAACAAAACAGGCCCTAGAACGGATCCTTGCGGCACTCCACTTGAAACCAACCATCAACATGACATCGAGCCGTAGATCACTACCCGTTGGGCCCGACAATCTTGCCAGCTTTCTATCCACATTACAGTCCATTTATCCAATCCATACTTCCTTAACTTGCTGGCAAGAATATTGTGGGAGACCGTATCAAAAGCCTTGCTAAAATCAAGGTATATCACATCCACTACCTTCCCCATCTCCACAGAGCCTATTACCTCATCATAGAAGCTAATCAGGTTGGTCTGGCAGGAGTTGCCCTTGGTGAATCCATGCTGACTGTTCCTGATCACTCTTCCAAGTGCTTCAAAATGAATTCTTTGAGGATCCCCTCCATAATTTTTCCGTGTACTGAGGTGAGGCTGACTGGTCTATAGTTCCCTGGATTGTCCTTCTTCCCTTTTTTAAAGATGGGAATTACATTTGCCTTTTTCCAATTGTCTGAGACCTCTCCCAATCAAAGATAATGGGCAAAGGCTCTGCAATGACATCTGCCAACTCCTGCAGCAGCCTTGGATGCATTAAATCCGGGCCCATGGATTTGTGTCTGTCTAACTTTTCTAAATATTCTTAACCTGTTCTTTCTCCACCGAGGGCTGCCCACCTCCTTCCCATACTGCTTTGCCTAGTGCAGTAGTCTGGGAGCTGACCTTGTCTGTGAAGACTGAGACAAAAAAAGCCTTGAGTGCTTCATCTTTTTCCACATCATCTGTCACTAGGTTACCTCCTTCATCCAGTAAGGGCCCCATACCCTCCCTCATCACCCTCTTATTGCTAACATGCCTGTAGAAATCTTTCTTGTTACCTTTACATCCCTTGCTAGCTGCAATTCCAATTGCGCTTTCGCCTTCCTGATGACTCCCCTGCATTCTCGAGCAGTATATTTATAGTCCTCCCAAGTCATCTGTCACATGTCGTCCATGTCAGTGAATGTCCTCTCCTCTACCCTGAACACTGCACTATCCTGCCCCAGATCCAAAAAGTACAAAACAAATTCAAGGGGCTGACTCTCTGTGAAAACAAGAATAAGAACCTGGTGACAGCCTGACGGGTTCTGAGCTCGAAGAGTCCAGACACAGAAAGCTACGAGGTGACTGCTGACCATGGCCCCTTTTGCAGCCATACATGCTGGATCTCATGTGTTCACAGCTCCACTGATAGTCCTTGGTGCTCAGCAGAACATGTGCAGCACAGACAGTGGGGCCTGGAGAAGCATCATCCAAGAATTATCCTTTGTAAGCTCCTGCTGTTCAGGGCTCCATTAACCTACAGAATGTCAGTGAACTTCTCTGTCTTTTAGCATATGTTCCATTACCTGCCTAAACAAAAGAGAGGACTATTCAGCACTTTGAAGACTAACAAGATGGTTTATTAGGTGATGAGCTTTCTGAGGAAGTGGGTCTGGCCCACGAAAGCTCATCACCTAATAAACCATCTTGTTGTCTTTAAAGTGCTGCACAGTCCTCTCTTTTGTTTCAGCAAGATCAGACTAACACAGCTACATCTTTATTACCTGCCTAGGCATTGAGGTGATAACTAGCAGGATCATGGCTTTCCCCCTTTTTTGGTGATCAACACCATCTTTGCTTTTTCTAACCTTCTAATATCTCGCCAGTTCTCAATCGACGTTTCAGAAATAATATATAGTGCTTGAAAAGTTCATTAGCTAATTCCCTTGACTTGCAGGGCATGCCATCTGGGCATGCTGGTTTATGTATGCTCAGCGTCCCAAGTATTATCTGACCCAGTTCATATCAGTAGCGCTACAGAACACAAAGTTAGAGTTGTCTTCTTAATTGGTCAAAAGATTTTCTACCTCTTTTCTCAACAGAAAGAGATTTATTAAAGCAGTTCGCTAGCTCATCTATTTTGTAATAATCATGAATGTAATCTCATTCATCATTAATTAATGTGTTTGCTTTCTTGCCAGTACTTCTGCTCGATCACTTATAAGGAGAATTCGATTTCCCCAAGGCCATTTGGCAGCATTAACACCCTTTTCACAGACGAGGGGAGGTCATTTTGACCGTATCAAACCGTCACTCTCCAGTGCGCATATGAATGAAATGAACAAAGGGGAAAGGATCAGAAATGATGGCTGCAGAGAAGATCTTAGACAGGGAGGGAAGCTGAGGAGGACGAGTGAGGGCCAAGACTCAGCCACATCCCAGGAGCACAGTGATAGCCCAGAATTTGCTTCAATCTACCTGAAGGTTCATACTCCAGGAAGTCTGCCACTACCGCTCAGAGCAGGCATTTGACCCCTTATCCTAGGAGTAAATCCCGCTAGTCCTCCACTACTCAAAAGGACTCCAGCAGCAGCGTCTTGGGGGATTTCCCACGGAGCAGACTGGAGGGGGCCTGGCTAACGTTGAATTCTGCAAGATTTCTCTGTGTAGACTGCAGAGACGTTGCAAGGGGGGACTGGGGATGCCCCAGTGGACCCAGGACTTGGCATGTGGCCTGCATAAGTGAGGCATGAGCCCTCGTGAGTGCAACTGTAAAGGGAAATCCTGTCTTACTAATCTATTAGAGTTCTTTGAAGGGGTTAATAAACATGCGGCCAAGGGGGATCCAGTAGATATAGTATACTTGGATTTTCAGAAAGCCTTTGACAAGGTCCCTCACCAAAGGCTCTTGTGTAAATTACATGGCCATGGGATAAGAGGGAAGGTCCTTTCATGGACTGAGAACTGGTTAAAAGACAGGAAACAAAGGGTAGGAATAAATAGTAATTTTTCAGAATGGAGAGGGGTAACTAGTGGTGTACCCCAAGGGTCAGTCCTGGGACCAATCCTTTTCAACTTATTCATAAATGATCTGGAAAAAGGGGTAAGCAGTGAGGTAGTTAAGTTTGCAGATGATACAAAACTGTTTAGGATAGTCAAGACAGAAGCAGACTGTGAGGGACTCCAAGAAGATCTCACCAAACTGAGTGATTGGGCAGCAAAATGGCAAATGAAATTTAATGTGGATAAGTGTAAAGTAATGCACATTGGGAAAAATAACCCCAACTATACGTACAGTATGATGGGGGGTAATTTGGCTACGACAAATCAGGAAAGAGATCTTGGAGTTATCGTGGACAGTTCTCTGAAAACTTCCACACAGTGTACAGCGGCGGGCAAAAAGGCAAATAGGATGCTGGGAATTATTAAGAAAGGGATAGAAAATAAGACCCAGAATATCTTACTGCCCCTGTATAAAACTATGGTACGCCCACATCTTGAATACTGTGTACAGGTGTGGTCTCCTCACATCAAAAAAGATATTTTGGCCTTGGAAAGGGTTCAGAAAAGGGCAACTAAAATGATTACGGGTTTGGAACGTGTCCCATATGAGGAGAGGTTAAAGCAACTGGGACTTTTCAATTTAGAAAAGAGGAAACTGAGGGGGGATATGATAGAGGTATATAAAATCATGGGTGGTGTGGAGAGGGCCGATAAAGAAAAGTTATTTATTAGTTCCCTAAATAGAAGAACTAGAGGACACCAAATGAAATTAATGGGTAGCAGGTTTAAAACTCATAAAAGAAAGTTCTTCTTCAAACAGCGAGTAGTCAACCTGTGGAACTCCTTGCCAGAGGAGGCCGTGAAGGCTAGGACTATAATAGAGTTTAAAGAGAAGCTGGATAAATTCACGGAGGTTAGGTCCATAAAAGGCTATTAGCCAGGGGATAGAAATGGTGTCCTTGGCCTCTGTTTGTCAGAGGCTGGAGAGGGATGGCAGGAGACAAATCGCTTGATCATTGTCTTCGGTCCACCCTCTCTGGGGCACCTGGTGCTGGCCACTGTCGGCAGACAGGCTACTGGGCTAGATGGACCTTTGGTCTGACTCAGTACGGCCGTTCTTATGTTCTTATGTTCTAACTGGACTGGAGGCTGTTGCGGCCACAGCAGCCCAGCCATGACAGCCTGAGGTGGGCAGCATGCTCCTTCCCTGCACCAAGTCCAGCAGCCAGGCTCCCGCAGGAGGCTGCAGAATGGAAGGCCAGAGTTCTGCAGATACAGATCAACCAGCTGAGTGCCAGAACAGCCACAGCAAACATGTCACCAAACACAGTAAACCGCAGAAAGCAACGGCGTCCGGCTGCCACGCAGACTGACAGAGCCAGCCCCTACCTTGTCCTCAAGGACAGCACAACACCCACACAGCAGCCAAACACCCACAAGGAGTGTCAGGCCCCCGTCCAGCACTGGGGAACGAGAACCAGCAAAATACCACAGGACCCAGAGCGAGACAGGAGGAGAAAACAGGCGAAAGGCCAAACTCACCAACATCGGACTCTTTGTGGGTTTTGATGATTTCAGCCAGTTCAAAATTTCCTGCAATGATGGCCACCTGAAACGAGAGGAAGAGAGGAGTGATTCTGAGCCGCCCTAATTCCTCAGCAAGGCCAGGCCTGCTGTCACTGTGGGAACCACATGGGCTGGCAGCACTTCTCCTGGCTTGGCCAAAAAGCAAGGTATAGAGTCAGCACCCATCAGGTGCCATCCTAGTGCCAGCAACAACCCCCCTTCCTCCTGCAATGACTCCGTCTACGCAGAAGGTGGCAGAGAGCAGCTCTACCAGCTGGGGATTAAGTTCAGGGCTTATAGTTGCTGCTGAAGTAGCCTCCTGCCTTGTTAGGAAAATATTGACTGTCTGATCAAGGAGGTTATTTACCAGTAGCTGAACTCTGCAGGACTTGCCTTGGCAAAGCCACAGACAAGCCGTGAACGGCACAGAACCATTTCCAAGCAGGTAGCTGTTGGGGGCAGCCTGCTCCAAACAATGGCCACAGCACGCTAAAGCAAGATTAACAAAGCTCTGCACAGGAGCCAGCTCGCAGCGTGGCAGAGGTTCTCGTAAGAACCAGAAGGAGCAAGGACGGAAGGGAGGTGGAACACGGAAACACATGCAGAGAATTCCAGTTACTGGGGAGACTGGGCTATGAGGAGCCTTTCTTTTTCTGCTGCTACATGTCCTCACGCCTGGAAAACTAGACACCTCTAGCAACTCTCAGGAGGGCTCCGACGTGAGTAATCAGAGAGCGAGACACTAGAGAAAAGTATGAATTAAATTCCGTGTAGCCGCCTTGCACATCCAGGTATTAAACATTGCAGAGCAAGCTGCTAGAGTTGGTACTGCCCTAGCAGAGTGACTTCTAACTGCTGGTACCTGCAACTTTTTCTGGCTGTAACAAGTCTCAGCACAAAATGTCGTCTGTTCAAACAGCCTTTGGGCCAAAGATCTTGCTCATTAGACTTTGCTCCGCATGCAGCAGCCCACCAGCCTGGTTTGCAAACGGGCTCGGCTCTGCCCTTGGGAGCCATTTACCGCCCGTTTTACACCGAGTCAGAGCGTAAGGCCTGAGGGGCCGTAGATCATTTAGTCTGATCTCCCATGAATCAGAGGCCACCAGCCGCAACCAGCTTCCTGCAGCCGAAATGAGAGCAAAGCAGCACAGCCCGCAAGAGCCAAGTGTGCTGTGCCACAGGGCGAGAGCTGAGGGACCGCACTGCACCACTGCCCAAGGTCACTGCAATGGCAAGGAGATGAATACATGAGACAGACCCAGCTCTGCCTGGCAGTGACCCGCACACACGAGCTGCAGAGGGAGGGGAGAAAGGTCTGACTGCCGGTCTGACCTGAGGGACAATTCCTTTCCAACCCCACGAATGGTGTGGAGTCAGCCCCACAGCAAGCGAACAAGAACCAGCCAGCCACGCACTTGAGAGACTGCCCAGTGCCACCTCTGAGCACTGACCGCTCCATCCAGTGCCCCATCTCTAGCGGGGTCGTCCCTGATGCCTCCGAGGAGGGAGTCAAAAATCACACTGGCCGGAGGTGGGGGAGGGAGCCTTTCCTGATCCTGCAGTGGACAGCCTGAAACATGGGATTCTTAGGAACATAGGACGTAAGTTGAAAGTGAGCCCACCAAAGCCTGAGATTGTCTGTGGCCAGGTTTGTTCAGGGAAGGGAGGAGTGAAGGTGGGAAGGGGCACATAAAGAGTGGGACTTGGGAAAGGGAGCAGAATGGGAGGAAGGCCTTGGGGCAGAATGGGGGGTGAAGCTTCCCAGGGAAAAGAGAAGGCAGTGCCCCGGTTGTGCTAACATTGCACTTTAGCTTAAACTTGATTTCACTTACAAGTCTGACACCTGCAATAGAGGTTTAAACAAAGACCTGACCTGGACAGCCTGCTCCATTCCACACCCTAATGAGATAAAAAGCCAAGCACCGGGTACCTTGAGTACCTTGTGAGCCTCGTGAGTGCCTCGTGAAACGAGGCTTCCTTTGTCGACTGCACCGCATCTAGACTGCCCCGCTGTGTCGGATCAGCTGATCGTCAGCACAGCGCAGCGGCCATTTTTATTTTAATGAAAGCAGGGATTATTTATTTGACTATGCCCAATAAACTATTTTACATGGCTCCAACCTTCCCCACTCTCCTCTCCTGAGACAGGCCCTCCCTTCCCCTGATCATCCTAATAGCTCTTCTCTGCACCCCATCCAGTTTTAATCCATCTTCCTTGAACATGGTGTGTCCATGAACGCACACAGTGCTCCAACGGGGTCTCACCGGTGCCTTGCAGTGATGTTGCTACTTCTCTCTCTCTGCTGGAAATGCCTCCCTGATGCCAGAATCGCATCAGCCTTTTTCACAGCTGCATCACACTGGTGGCTCAGAATCAGCCACTGACTGACCTCCATACCCAGGTTTCTCTCCTTTTTCCTCACTTCCAACTGAAGAGCTCCCAGCTTGTAGCAGAAATTCCTATTGGACCCCAAGTGTGTGCCCTTGAACATTGCTCTACTGAATTTCATCCCCTTTCTGTCATTCCAGTCTCCAAAGTCAGCCAGATCTCCCCGTGTACCATTCGGAGCCTCCTCCGTATTGACGGTGCCACCCCACATGGTATCATCAGCACACCCCTACTTCTGTGCCACGGTCAGTAGTAAAACTACTGAATACGACTGGCCCCACGATCAACCCTGGAAGAATTCTACTAGTTACCTTTCTGCAGTCCCACAGTTCATCTTTTAACACAACCCATTGCCACCGCCCTTTGGCTAGTCCCTTATCCACCGCACAGTTCTTGAACCGATCCCCATCCTTTTTGCTTTAACTAATCATTTCCTGGGTGGTACCTTTAACAAGCCCAAGTAGATTGGATCTGCATTTCCCTCACTTATAAACACAGTTATACAGTCTGGCCTGCCTCTCCAGAACCAGCACTGCCAGGGAACTGTTTGCTGCAGATGGAAGTTCGACAGCACTCCCAGGAAGAATTTAGGTCACAACAATTTTACCCTTTGCAGTGGGCATGTGAACCATAAGCCGCTGAACCAGTCTCACAGCTCAGGTGCATACTGTTGCCACCAGCAAATGTATCTTTGGGACAGGTGATAAGAAAAGCAAAGTCTGTGACAAGCTTAAAGGAGGGAAGTATGAGCCAAGCCAGAACGATGTTCAAACCGCAGGCCCTGGATGCCTGGACAGACGGCTGGGTGCGCACACAGAGGCTACTTACCAGTAACTATGGCTCTTTTGGGATGGTTATACTGGCATATACCCTCCTGGGAAAGCCCCCCCACTACACAAGGTGCTGAAACTTTCTGGGAACACGTGACCAGTGGGGCTGCAAAAATGCCATCGTGAAGCAATCAACATGGAGTGTCCAAGAAAGATGCAGCCCCATTGCCTCCGTTCTTTCACTGGAACATCAGAGACCCTCTAAGGAATGAGGGAAGATAGGCAAGGAGTTTAAATATGCAAAGGCAGCTCCTTTGAAGAATGAGCGACAGGTGTTTAATTAGCAATAAGGGCTGCTGCAAGCAGGCAGAGGTGTTGGAAACAGAGCTTGATTATGCATGCTGAGCAGCCTGCTTCTGTGCTGAGGCTCTGCTGTCCGTCCCCACTCACCAGTCCTAGATTTGTATTTCTGCACCTCTGGTCCCACATCAATCTAGTTCTCTTCTAAAACCTGCCCACTCACAGAAGCCCCCAGCTTTGCCTCCCTATACGAGACCAGCTCTTGGATACAGAGCAGCTGGCTCAAGCTAAGCCCAGACAAGGCTCAAGTGAAGCTGACCTGAAAAGGAAATGTTTCCAACCCCCACCCCCTGGAGTCCTGCCTGACTCCTCACTACGCTGGCATGGCCAGTGACTCAAACGGTCTTTCCTCTGCAGCTCACTAAAAACCGCCGTCCCTTCCTCCTGAATGAGGGTCTGGCCACAGTACAATACATCTGCCACCCGCCGGGTGGGTTGCTCCCGGTCATTCCCTGTCACCGATGCTAAATGGAAAGCTGCTGCAGAGGCTCTAGCTGGTACAGAAGGAAGGGGCCTACACGGCCATGAGGCTATCCAGCCCATGTTCCATCCCTACACTGGTCAGCTGCTGAGGCCATTTAAGGCTTTGCTCCTAAATTTCAAAGCAATTAATGGGTCAAGCCCAGTTCTCTAAAAGACTAAATTCAAGCTATGAACCACTGCAACAACTGGTCCCCTCTGGGACACTGCAGATCACAGCTGGACAACGCTCACTGGAGCTGGGAACAGGGTTCTCTGTTGAGGGGCTCCGGATGTGGCACACTCTGCCAGAATAGTGATAGAAATGCAGCCGTGTTAGTCTGGTGTAGCTGAAGCAAAAAACAGGACTATGTAGCACTTTAAAGACTAACAAGATGGTGTATTAGGTGATGAGCTTTCGTGGGCCAGACCCACTTCCTCAGATCAAATAGTGGAAGAAAATAGTCACAACCATATATACCAAAGGATACAATTAAAAAAATGAACACATATGAAAAGGACAAATCACATTGCAGAACAGGAGAGGGATGGGGGGGGAGGTGAATGCCTATGGGCTAATGATATTAGAGGTGATAATTAGGGAAGCTATCTTTGTAATGGGTAAGATAACTAGATCCTTTGTTTAGACTCAGATGTAAAGTGTCGAATTTTAGCATGAATGACAGTTCAGAGGATTCCCTTTCAAGTGCAGATTTAAAAGGTCTTTGTAGCAGGATGCAGGTGGTTAAGTCATTGAGAGAGTGTCCTTTCTGGTTGAAATGGCAAGAAACTGTTTTTTCTTTGTGATCTTGTCTGATATCTGTTTTGTGGGCATTGATCCTTTGGCGAAGTGTCTGAGACGTTTGTCCAATGTACACAGCAGACGGACACTTTCGGCACATGATAGCATAGATTATATTTCTGGATGCGCAGGAATATGTGTTCTTGATCTTATAACTCACTTGGTTAGGTCCAATAATGGTATCAGCAGAGTGAATATGTGGACAAAGCTGGCAACGGGGTTTGTTGCAAGGGAAGGTGCCAGGGTTGGTATTAGTGTGGTAT